CCATGGACACCCCCTCTAACCCCGCCTCCTCCTCCGGTTCCACCGCTGCTGTCCTCCCGGCCGACGGGCAGGATGACCGGGCTCCGGTTCGGCCCACTCAGGACTCTCCCGCCTCTCCAGCCACCAAAGAACCCCCCCTCTCGGACCCTCCCCCCTCCGCCTCCGCCTCTCCCGATGAAATCGCTCGACCCGGCTCCGGTTCCCGGGCAGGACCCGCCCCCACAAAGCTCCCGGCGGCCATCTTATCCACGCCACAACTCCAAGCTGACTTTGGCCTAGTGATACCAAACCCGTCCCCCTTCCCTCAGCCAACATGTCCTGGCAAAGACGGGGATAAGGCGGCAGCGGAAGCAGCAGCAGCAGCAGCAGCAGATGACGACGACGACGGAGAGGATGGTGGAACGGAGGCCCAGCTCTTCTTCGGAGCCAAAGGCTCGGCCTATCTCCTCAGCGGTGGCCACGTTCTCTTACCAAAGGGCTCCCCTAGCACCACAGCTCCCCCGGTGTCTACCCTCCACGTCCAGCGGGGTGGAGGCCCTAACCAAGGCTTTACGTCTACTGACCAAATGTCCCAGAATACCTCAGCGCCAGCCGAGTGGACCCCTCGTGGCGCCTTCTACACGTACCGACTGGCCGGGGGCCCCGCTCGAACCACATCTGCCAAAAACGTTCCCTCCAAACCCAAAGATGCCCCCGCCACCCACACGGAGGATGAGGAAAACCCCACAGGGGAAGCCGGTCTTGGCCAAGACGAGGAGCTACCGAGGCCACCCATCTGGCTGTGTCTAATATGCCGCCTTTCTTTCCACCGGGGCCGTTCCTTGGTGACCCACGCCCGTGGGGCCCACGGGGTGCAGCTGAGCGCCGACCAATGCCAGATCCTGTCCAGAGGGGCTTCTGCCGTGTTCCAGGGTACCACACTTGGCTTCCTAGAACCAAATAACCCCACCTCCGAGGCAGACCTCAATGCCAGAATGTGTAGCAGATGGGTGAATGTATCGGAAGAAGAGGAGGAGGAGGAGGAGGAGGAGGAGAAAGGAAGCTCAGAAGGACAACGCGAGCCACCCGATGCCAAAGATTCAAGGGTCGGCGGTGCGTGCTGGGCAAAGGGGGGCTTGGAGGACAAACCAGAGAATGAAAAGGAGGAGGAGGAGGAGGAGAAAGAGGAGGCTGGCGAAAAGAAAGAGGAGGGAAGGCTTCTTCCAGACCAAAGCTCACATGGCCAAAGCCCACTCATGGGTGCTAACGCCGCCCTCTCGGAGACGCCACAGACCAAGGTTGATAACGACGTCAACATCGGGTTGGCCAAGGAGGACGTCAACACGGAGATGGTCAACAAAGCCGCTGGCTCGGCCAGCGAAGTCGTCAGCGCGGGACTGGTTCAAGACAGCTCTCAAGTCGAATCAGCTGGAAAACCTGATGACGCTGGGTCGGCCACCAAAGGGAACAACGAGGACCTAACCCACACCACAGAAATCAACAACGCCGGGTTGGCGCATGACGCCGGCGCCGCTGAGCTGGCCCATGGCATCGGCAACATGGGGACGGCCAACGACATGGCCAGCGTCGGGTTTGAGGTGAGCAACAGCCACAACGGATCGGCCCCGCTTGGCTTCGGGGACGATTTCACAGCCATGGCCTACTCCGGCTTGAGTCTGTCCGGCCACATGTCGTTGCTCCACTCGCGCAACTCCTGCAAGACTCTGAAGTGTCCCAAGTGCAACTGGCATTATAAGTACCAGCAGACCCTGGACGTGCACATGAAAGAGAAGCACCCGGAGAACAACAGCCACTGCGCTTACTGCAGCACCGGCGGCCCCCACCCCCGCCTGGCCCGGGGCGAGAGCTACAACTGCGGCTACAAACCCTACCGCTGCGAGGCCTGCAACTACTCCACGACCACCAAGGGCAACCTCAGCATCCACATGCAGTCCGACAAGCACCTGGCCAACCTGCAAGGCTACCAGGCCACGGGGGGCAACGGGACCCCCTCGGTGGTCCCCGTCGCGGCCCCCACCCCGCCCTCCCCCGAGGAGAAGGAGTTGAAGGGCAAGTCCTCTTGGCAGTGCAAGGTCTGCAGCTACGAGACCAACATCTCCCGCAACCTCCGGATCCACATGACGTCGGAGAAGCACATGCAGAACATGCTCCTGCTTCACCAGGGGCTGCCCCTGGCCCTGCCCGGACTCCTGGGACAACCCCAGCCCTCGCAAGGAGGCAAGCCGCAGCCGGAGCTCTTCCAGTTCTACGGGGCCCAGGCCCTCGGCCACTCCCACCACCCCCACCCCCACCATGCCCACTCCGGGGCCAGCCCGGCTCTGCGGGGGGACAAGCCCATGGAACAAACCCAGCTCTTACTCAATGGAGGCTTCCCGCAACTCGGTACCCCCGGCAGGAAGATGGCCACCTTGGGGTCAGGTAAGGAAAGCTGCCCTTTCCCATTCCCCTCTCACACACACACACATTGCCCGTCATGCCAGGCCGTGTGGGATCAAGAGGCCCCACTGCTGGACCCCCTGATGGCCCCTGGTATTTCTGGCCACTGTGTGACAGAGTGTTGGACTGGACGGGCCACTGGGCTGATCCAGCATCGGCATCTCTGATGCTCTCATGTTCTTACATGTGGAATGTAGGCAGGGCTGGGCAGCACAGGGACCCTCACTCCAAAGAAGGGATCAGGGGCTTCCTATAGGGTTTCCATCAGGGTCAGCTGGTCAGGGAGAATCACTGGCCTATCTTGATCACCCAAAGAGTGATTAACACATGGAATTCACTGCCACAGGAAGTGGTGGCGGCTACAAGCATGGACGGCTTCAAGAGGGAATTAGATAAGCATATGGAGCAGAGGTCCATCAGTAGCTATCAGTCACAAGGTATAGATAGGAACTCTCAGGCTGGGGCCAGTGATGCTCTGTCTTCTTGGTGCTTGGGAGGGCCAACAGTGGGAGGGCTCCTAGTGTCCTGGCCCCACTGCTGGACCCCCTGATGGCCCCTGGTGTTTCTGGCCACTGTGTGACAGAGTGTTGGACTGGATGGGCCACTGGCCTGATCCAGCATCGGCTTCTCTGATGCTCTTATGTTCTTAAGAGGTTGGACGCACCTCTGGCCACCCAGCTTTCCCATTGGTAGTATGCAGAGAACATCCGTTCCCAGGCCCTCGTTCGTGTTTTATTGACATCTCCTTCCTTCCTGCGCTCCTCTGTCCTTCTCTGCTCGCTGGCTGCGTTTCCTCCTCCTCGTTCACGTGCCCGTCGCCCTTGTTTTCAGGCCTGGTTTGGGTTTCCGTTCAGCTCCCCCCCGATTGTTGGCCGACATGATTCTCTCTTCCTCCGGCTCCTTCCTTCCATACATCCCCTCCCATTTTCCTTTGTTCCATCCTCTTGCTGCTCGCTCTCTCTCTCTCTCGTCGGCCCCATTTATATTTTATACCTCTCATTCATCCAGGAGGAATCACTTAGGTTCGCCCACTCATTTTTGTTCTCCTTGCCTCTGCGCAGCTCCTGCGTCGTCGCTCTCTCCGGAGCCCGCCCCGCCTTCCCCGCTGCCACCCCACTCTGGGTCAGACCTGGGGTCTCCCCAGAGGTTGTTCACCTGCCTGGTGTGCCAGGCGTTCAGCACGGACGGCCTGGAGGCCCTCCTGCGGCACGCGTCGGCCCCCCGCTCGCTGCCCGAGGGGGAATGGAAGGAGGTGTCGGGGGACTTGCACCGGTGCAGACTGTGCGCCTACGGGACCCAGCTGAAGGCCAACTTCCAACTGCATCTCAAGACCGA